TGTGTCTCCTGCTTTTATGGCATTGAGGTACTATGTCGCCACTATCAACCAGTCATCGATGTAGGGATAAATGTTTATTGCCTGCAGCCGGAGGAAGGCAGCTACTGGTGCCATGCACTTGGTGAAACTCCGGGGGTGGAGGGAGTCTGAGTTAGGTACCGGAAGAATGGCGTGTTTTTGGAGAAGTTTGGTAACCTCATCCTGCAGAGCAGAGGAATAGGGGGTGTACCGAATGAACCCCAAGGGAGGTAGATCGGAAAATTCTATGAGGTAGCCAGACACTATGATGGACAGAACCCATTTATCTGATGTAATGGCTTGCCAACAATGGAAAAATGGGGCCAGTCTGGTACAGTTCAGTGGGCGAAGAGAAATGTCAGAAAAAAGAGGCAGAGGTAGTTGTCAATATTGCTTACCCTTTCGCTGTTCTTTACAAAAGGATTGACGTTGACAGGGTAGGCTTTGAGGCCGGTACGATGCCATCAGAGGTTGAGCGGCAGGTAGGGACCTGTCGGTTTGATGGGGGCGATACTGTCTTTAAGGCTGGAACCTTTGGTTCTGGTATTGCTTGGGGTGAAACTGGCCTGAGCGGTAGAAGGGTCGTTGATAGGAGGTAGATGGCTGTGCAGAATAAGAGCGTGCAGTCTTGTGCTTCTTATGGAAATCCTCCATGGTATCGTCGGTTGTAGAATTGAACAGGTCGGCACCATCAAAGGGCAAGTCCTCGATTCTTGACTTGGTGTCATCAGAGATCGTGGAGGATTTGAGCCAGGCATGGCGTCGAATAGAGATAGAGGTAACTAGAGTTCTAGAAGCAGCCTCAGCAGAGTGTCGCGCTGCAATCCTCTGGTACTTGGCCAAAGAAATGGCTTGTGAATGCATGTTGATGAGATCAGATCTCATGGGTTCAGGGGCTCAGTCAATCAAGGGAAGCACTTGGTTCCAAAGATGACGCTGAAAGGCGCCCATAGTTGCCTGGTAGCTAATGCTTCTGAGCAAAAAGGCTTGTAGGGAGTAAACTCGTTTCGCCATTGTGTCAACTTTCCTGCCATCTTTATTGGCAAGCGTAGGTTTGGACCTGGCCTGGGTCCGAGCCTGACTGGATTCGACAATAATAGAGTTAAGCACTGGATACTTATTGAGGAATTCGGCATCGATGCCGTGGGTCCTATAGAGGCCATTGGTGCGGCGAGAGATCTGCATAGTGGAAGGAGGTTTTCCCCAAGTGTCCTTAATGAGTTGAAGGATAGACTTGTTAAAGGGAAGACTCAAAGGAACGGGACGCTCCTGGTTGCTGTCGTCGAACACTGGCTCGGCATCAGCAGACAAGGGTTGTTCGGTGTCAAGATTCAGGGCTTGTGCCATTTGGAAAATAAGAGTCGAGTATGAGGAGAAGTCATCCGAAGAGGAAGATGCATGGCTGCCCCTCGTATCTGGGATTGGAGGGGGAAGCTCGGACTCATGGGAGGATTCAGAGTGTTGTGCCTCCGAAGATGCAGGGGAGTCTGGAGATGAAGGGTAGTCCAATGGACCGAAGCCCTCTGTCAAGGGAGCTTGGTGTCGTTGGGTCGGCAGGACCTCAAAAGGACCTTGAGATGTCATCCGGTCCGGCATCGAGGTGCAGGAATCAGGGGTAAAGCCGTGGGGGCCTTGTCTCACATTTGAGGTAGCGGAGTTGGCTTAGATGGGGCAGGAGGGCATATGGATGGAGCCAGGACTGCCGGGGCCAAAGTGGACGCGCGGAGACGGTTCGAGTCCATGAAGGGGATGGCATGAGGGAGTTCCGGCGTCATTCGGGGCCGTTTAGCCTGGTCAGGCTGGTACCTTTCGTATAGGGTTTGCCAGATGAAGGGGTCAAAATGGTATGGTACCATTGGAAAGGGACAGAAATCACCTTGCGATGCCACGGACCTCGGTGGGGAGAGGTGCTTTCCTTTTTCCATTCTCTTCCGTGGAGGAGAGGGGGGAACCTCCAGATCGGATGCTGAGCTTTCCGCTGCCCGCCATGAGTCAGAGTTTGAATGGGCTGAGGCTGGGCTGGACTGTGGCGCAGCTGCAATGAGGTCAATGCTCGGGTTTTGGGGCGGCATCGCGGGGGGGCTCAATATCATGGGCTTCATCTCCATCCGAGGCCAAGTCAGGAGCTTCTCTGGATGATTCCTCGAGAACAGGGGAGGGCAGAGAAGGCTGGGGGGGGCTCCATGCGGGGAAGCCTGTCCTTTCGAAGCCTCTTAGGGGCAGGTTTGGGTTTCTTCTTCGAGCTTGGGTCGTGCGCTCGAGACTTTTGAGAGGAGGGCAACTTGTGCTTACCAGACGATTTTGTTTTCTCAGTGTCCTTAGCTGGTAGCACAGAGGTAGAGTCAGAAGTAGACTGGCCCGCTGGAAGTCTATCGGCTGAGAGGACAGGAGATCTAGCTGCCTCTGAAGATGTAGTAGGAGGATTCATGTCTGTTTGCCAAAGGTAAGGCCGAAGTCTTTGGAGCCTCTGCATAAGTGCCGGCTTGGTTAGGCTCTTTACAAGCAGGGCATGAATGGGTTGGATGTTCTTCACCCAAGCAAAAAAGGCACTGGCTATGGCCGTCAGAAAGTGTGATTTTATTCGCACAAGTAGCACAACACTTGAAAGGAGACGGCGATGCCATAAGCAAAAGACTGGGGGAGGGGAAGGGAAGGGGGAGAGGGAAGGGAATAAGAACCACGGGAAGCCAATTAGGCAAACAAAAAGACGCGGAGGATCACTAAGTAGGTACTTAAGGTAAAGAAAAGCAAACAAAAGCTCAAAAGAGCCTAGAAAAATAGCCAAAAGTCAAGTAGCGAAGCGCTGTATCTTTCCTGAGAACCGTTCAGCTTGGCGGAAAAAAGGAACTGGGGAAGATGGTGGGTGGGAGGAGCATATACCTCGTGGAGGATCACACCATAAAATTGTTACTTTTAGCTCTAGAATCTTCCGAGAGAGTCAGCACAGGCGGACAATACCCATATGTGTGAATTCACAGAGGACCACTCAAAGAACTATGGTTACAGGTAAGTAACCTCTTTTTATGTGAAATCAGGCGCAGACAATACCCATATGTGTGCATTCACAGAGACCATGAAAAAGAACTGTCTCTCTCCATGAAGGCTTAGGCCCATGATTCAAAAAAGAAATTTCCTTGTGAGAAAAAATTGTTTCTCAAACATAGAAATATATGAAATGACTACACAAAACCCAGCCATCCAACTGCTGAAAACGTTTGCAGAGCCAGTCAAAGACTCAGTACCAATTCTGCCAAGTTTTATTTGAATTGTAATCCATTTATTTTTGTTTCCTTCAATGAGCAAAAACTATATATATTCAAGCTGCCTGAGGAACAACGAGAAGAAGTAGAAAGCGCAAGAAAGAATGGGACAGGATGGCAGTTTAGGAACACATACGTACTTCCTTTTTCCCTGTACCTCCTCCCAGTGAGTGGAAGATGCCTTTTAAACTTAATGTGCTGTAATAATTCCCCTGAAAGAAAAAAAGTCCCTTTCTCTGTGTCTCCTTCTATATCCACACCTATATATCACAGAGCCCATGCCCTCTATATACAACATGAAAATAATCCAAATATCTGCACCAAGGCAACCCAGATTCTCTGCTAGGAAAAAGTGAGTTGTTACCTTTATTTATATGGATTTGCATATATTGGCTGGTATCTTATTGCTTAGTCCTAGCCACAGTACACCTGTTGACTCAATGGGATTTACGTTGAGTACTAATCTACCATTAAAATGATTGATTCAATGGATCTACTATTAGGTGGGACTGGCAACAGAATATGGGCCATCGCTTCTAATCTAATCCAAACTGTTTACTTTTTTCATACAATTTATTCTGCAAGTGGGGGGAAGGGGGAGGAGTGAACTGTCCAGAGCCCTGTGAACCTATCTCAGAAAGTAGTTTTAGAAGAGGTAGCCGTGTTAGTCTGCACTAGCATGTCAGGCCAAAACAAAAATAAGAAAAACAAAAATGTTGTGGCGCCTTAAAGACTAGCAGCTGTAGTTTAATGTGAGCTTTTGTGGATCACGTCCACTTTTGTTTTTGCTTGATATAACCCATAAAGCTTCCCCCATCGTCTGCACAATTTTGGGCAGGTCTTGTGTGCCAATTTACAAGCATTTCTATATACCCATCTTTCTGTTTGGGCAGAATTGTGGCACACACAACCTTGCCCATAATGTTTGCCTATTGGGCAGCTGCCACCCCATGAAAAAGGGGGGTAGGTAGAGCAGATTTGCCATAAAAATATTTCCTAATGAGAAAAGGAAGATTATTACCGAATACAGTAGGAAGGACTGCAAAATATAACTTTTTGATTTTTGTTTTAAAGAAAAATTGCCAGTCACCTCTCATCATTAGTAACAATCAACTTAGCTTGATTATAAAAAAATTAAAACTTTCCTAATAAGGTTTATAGGTAAATCTCTTCTCAGGTGTTATATTAAAAAAGGTTTCTTTTAAAAAAATCCTATTTATCGGATTCCTTCAAAACTGTGCCTCCTACCTAAAGACTTCAGCACGAGACAGGATTACAGATAAACTCCAGCCTCTGGTCCCCCATCTCCCCATTTTTTAAAAAAGGAGAAATTGGTACAAAAAGGGACAACACTCGATTTATAGAGCCTTCCTCACTTCCCCTCCCAGGTCTCCATTTCAAAAATGAGACAGGAAGATGGAGTCACTCCTCACCTCAACCGATCTGAAGCCTCCTATGCACATAACCTCCACCCCATTCTTTGGAGTGGCCAGTATTTCCTCCTTCCCTAAAGGACACGAAGCTTCTTTCCCTTTCCACTGTTAGGACGGAGTCAGAAATGGGGACAGAGATTGTGGCAACAAGAAGAAAGGAATTATCTGGACTCTGGTCCATACAGAGACAGGTGAGGAAGAGAGAAAGAGACCACAAGGGTGCCATTTTGGCAGACAAGGGTTATCTTCCTTCGGGTGGCAGTTCCAGCAGAAGGTAACAGGAGATGGGTTCAATGTGGTGCTTTGTTGTAAAGGAAGAGGCGACAGGCAGTGTCTTCACACCCCGTCTGTAGATCCTGTAAAGGAGCAGACATGCCATAAGTGGGAGTGAGTGGGATTATTCTTGCAACTTTCCCCCCCGCAAGAGAAGATGCCACCCCTTCCCACATCAGTGCTTTCCAAATGGTCCAACTGCAAAATTCCCAACACGCCCAGTCAACATAGCTATTGGAAAGTAGCAATAATGGGGAAGACAGAGACTGGGTTGCTTCACTCACCCCTTGTGAGTGAGGTTGGTACCTATAGACATGGAAGTCTGGGGAAAGATAAGGAGTTACACCTTCACCAGGGCTTCAGAGAAATGAGTCCCTCATCTCCCCAGGCTTTGTGTTTCTATTCATGCCCCCTATTTTGTCAGTTCCCTTTAATGACTTGGCCACTTCTGCTTCTCAGGCATAGAGAAGTTCCTTTCTCAGTTACAGAGAAGTTTCCACTAAGGACACCTGCCTGGCATCTCTAGCAGTTACTGTTTTATCCTTTTCCCACTCAAACTATCTTCAGGCATGATCAGAAGGGGAAATAGTTCACATTCTGGACTGCCATTCAACAAAACAGTTCACCCAAATGCTTCTTACAGTCACAGCCCATTTGATTGCTTTCTGTTGACCCAGGTTAGAGAGCATTTCCTTTATCCATTTGATTAACCTCCCAAAATTGCCCCCACAAAAAGGTCTGGAGAGGCAGGGAAAAGGTTAGCAAAATTACTGACTTCCCCTAATTTTATTCTTTTAAATCTCAAAATAGCACTTTTCAGGAATATTATTGAAAACATTAAAAAGGAAAGAAAGTCATGGGGGAAAATGAAAGAAAGTCTGATGTTGCAACAATTTAAAGACTACTCAAGGAATAAATCAGAAGGTATTGTGAATCTCCTAGTTCCAGTCAATGGAGGGGCCATTTCTTGGCTTTTTGAATTGTGGGTATAGAAGCACAATATCCCACATTCATAAAGCAGAGGTTTCTTGAAGAATTGAATCTGTAGACAAATGAAATTATACTATCTCCAAGCAAGGTTTCTGACATCCATCTGACTCATTGCTCAACGAAAAGAGGGAAACACTCCTCAGGAGTCACCTGGAAGAGATCATAGATGGAACATCTGCCTGTTCCTTCAGCAAGAGGACTGACTCACCCGTAGGAGCTGCTGTATGTGTTTTCCTGAGCTTTGGAAAGATGGTGTAGGCATCATAGCCAAAGAGGATCGCTGCCAGAAGTCCAATCACCTGTTGAAGGGAAATGCAACTCTACTTGAGCTACGTTTTATTTTATACATTTCTTAACTAATTTGAAATTCTATCATTTTTCCAAGGAAATGTAAACATGATAATAAAAGCCATATGAAGAATGAAAAACCCTGAAGAAATCAGTTTCAGCAAAATATAATTTCGAAAAATCAACCTGTATCAAGAACAGGTGAGTTTTTTAAAATTAAAAAAAAATCCTTAAAAGTAGACATAGATTGGGTCAGCTTTCCATTTCTTGGGAAGAAATCCCAAGGCACAGGAGCCACCACTGAGAAGGTCCCAGCTCTGCTACCCATTAATCCTGTTTCTACCCTGTTTTCCCGAAAATAAGACCTAACCTGAAAATAAGCCCTAGTATGATTTTTCAGGATGCTCGGAATATAAGCCCTACCCCCAAAATAAGCCCCAGTTAATTGAAAGCCTGCCTTCCACCATTGTGCAGCAACCAGAAGAAGATGACATGAATGTATTTGAATAAATGTAGAGTGTTGTACATGAAAAAATAAAATAAAACATCCCCTAAAGTCCTAATTTGTTTTTTGGAGTAAAAATTAGTATAAGACCCTCTCAGGGAAACATGGTATAAATGTACTGATATGGCTATCTTGGAGTAAAAATTAATATAAGACCCTCTCACGGAAACATGGTATAAATGTACTTATATGGCTATGGTTATATTCCAATATGGCTATAGGAACTGAGTTCTGGGGTTATCTGTACTGGGCACAGTTCAGAAGAAAAAAAGGTGGTGGTGAGAGAAACAGAAGACAAAAGTGTACAGCAGCCCTAGGAAAATCAACACAGTCTGGTCCAGAAACAGTGGATGAAATTTGTTGCTTAGCATAGAAAATTGCATTAGAGTAGGCAGATTCAGTCAGTGGGGATTTGGAGCCTCAACTCCGCAATAAGGTATGTTGATCCAAACAGACCTACTCTAGTGTGACTTACTAACACTAAGTGATAGGATTTCAACCAGTGACTTGTGTTTGGGCTGTTTAATAGGATTCCTGCAGGATTTTGTAGCCAGGTTTAGCTTTCATTATGTGTCCTTCCAATAACTTGCTGGTCTTCATGGAACATGCAGCAATGGGAGCCTATCAATGGCTTCCAAAACATGGAGTAGGGACAGATAGAAATAAGAGTCAGAAATTACTGTCATATAGGAATTCAGTTTTTTCCCCCCTCTCCTTAAAATACGTAGGAGCAAAATGGTTCTACTTTTCCAAGCACTTAAATTGATAGGTGGAGGGCTATGGTTAATAAAAAGTCTGAAAAGTGATCGGCATTTCAATTCTCCATTTGTTTCTCATGACTGAAAGGAGAGAAACTGTGGAACAGGGGTCCTCAACCCCCAGTCCGTGACCTGGCACCAGTCCGTGGCCTATGTAGGACCGGTCCACGGACACAGATCTCCTGCCCCCCACAACAGTGCCACGCCCCCTACGAGCAAGCGAGCCCCTGCCCACCCGCGAGGGTGGGGGGTGCCCCCCCACACACATGGACCCCGCCCCCCAACCGGTCTGCGGTTGGGAAAAGGTTGGGGACCACTGCTGTGGAAGGAAGCATGGAGGAACCACCAGGACACTGAAAAATCCCTTTGCACACCAGAAAAAAGCATAAAGGACTTGAGATACGTAATGCAGAGGCAAGAGCGGAGCAAAAAAGAGGGCGTCTCTTGAGAGCAAGAGGACTTGGAAAATGAGGAATTTGCAAGATGTGCGGGGGAGGGAAGTGTTCTCCTCAAGAGAAAAGGGTCTGGACTTTTAATCAGAGGAGATTGGCTCCTGCCAATTCTTTCTTGTAAAATCACTTCTTTCTTAAAATGTTTTTTTTTATTTCATCAGGTGTGTGTGTGTGTATGTGTGAGAAAGTGTGCACTCCCGTTCTACCATAGAAGATGAGCTAAAGTCTATTTCCTACCCTGTTGTCTTGCCTGAGCAATTACTGCATGGAGTGGGTGTGGGTGAAGGCTATGATTTTAGCAAGCTGATTTTTTTAAAGCTGAACTAAGTCTAAATATTTTCGACAATATAGAAATATGTGGGAAACTAGACTTCCTGCTTGTTACATTGAGGACTATGAATAACCTTTTTCTTTCTTCCAAAAGCTGCACATTGCAAAATCTTGCACTATATAAAATATCAGAACTCATCAGAAATTATAGAAAGCTACCGTTGGTTTATTGCATCTATATACCTGCAGTTCTAAGATTATTTTTTATTATCATACAACTTTATTGGTGGCTGAAGTGCAATCTTCCAGCTAAATCCAGTTTTCATTCCAAATAGTATCTTGGGAGGCAGTGAGCACTTCAGCACTGGAGGCATAGAAAGTTAGACAGCCACCTGTCAGATATATTATATTTTTAATTCCTGCACTGAGAAAAGGGTTGAACTTGATAGCCTTATAGGTCCCTTCCAATTCCAATATTCTATACGATTCTGGAATAAATTGAAATCAGCAGGAAATCAATGAATTGATGAAACCAGCTGCAATCTTAACTTAAACACCAATTTAATATTAACATTAACTTAAAACCTTGCCCCATCCAACTTAAATGTCAGTGAATTAAACCAGTCCACTAACTGTTAACTCTACATCTCTGGTACTGATTGCAGCAGGGTGTGAGGGGAGGTGCTGCCTAACTCTGCGCTTCCTCCACTCCACACATACATTTTTGCCCTTTTGTGTTAACTCCAAGGATAGTTCCCCTACTTCCACTCCCAAGTCATTCCTTGAGAGAAGTTCCTGCTAACACAGTCTTAATATATGGCTTTCCAAAGCTCTGGACTTAACAACAGCTCTTACCATACCCTGCAAGGCTAATAATGGTCAGGACACCTCAGAGTAGATGTTCAATCATCTGATGGACCAAAGGTTGAGAGGGCCTGTGTGCATTCCACCCAATGCTTTTCTAAGAAAACGCCTTCTGTACGGAATCCAGCTTTGATCTCTATAAAGTGCTCCCTGCTCGGAAATACTGAGCCTGCCTCTCCTTGATGACATCAGCATTCCTGGAATGTGCTGACATTCCTTGCCAAATCAACATTCCAGCTTCCCTTCCCCCATTCTCCATAAAGGCATTTACCCCTGCAGCGATGCCAGCTCCATCGTGGTGCCCAATGAGGACGATAAGGGAAGTGATGAGAAAGGCGACAGCTCCGATAAGAGCCCTGATGAAATCCTAGAACGGGCCAGAGAAGGGAAGAAAGAGTTAATATCACACTACATCCAAATTTAAGCAGCCACCTGGTTCAATCCATGTTCAGGCTGGTCCAATCACAGCCTAATGCTCCACATATCTGCTCAGAAGCAAGACCATTGAGTTCAATGAGGCTGATTGCCAGGCAGGCAGATATAGGATGGAAGCCTTAAAAGCAGAACTGGGCTGGTTTCTTCCATACTGATTAGCATTTTTCCATGGCTAGATAGATAAAGCGGACAGGTATACAAAAGTGATCAGAACTTAGAAGGGCATACTGGCTGGGGGATTCTGGGTGTTGTGGCTCTAAAAGTAACTCTTTCAAACTTTTAACATACATAACTTTATTTTCTTTTACCTTCCTGGAGGCAAACTCACCTTGTTCTCTTAAGTGCAATGTTAGGCAGGTAGTTCTGGAATTTGTTGCATCCTCTAAAGAGCAACCATTACCCAGAAATAGATCAGAGTCCATATTTGGCCATGTGTCCAATCTTCGCCTCAGTCCCATCATTTCCATTCTAAAGTATTACATGAAGCAGAGGCAGGAAAGACCTCTGCCTTGGACCTCATTCAGAAGAGACAGTGGTGTGGTGGTCATGATGGTTAATGCATGGTACTCAGGCTTGGAAGATCAAGTTTATAAATCACTGGGTAACTTTATGTCAGATCACTGGTGTTGGGGGTGGAGAGAGAACAAAGAGGTGAGGGGTGTTATTCAGACACCATGCTGGCTGCAGTATGTCAGTTCAGCCTTCCATCCTTCAGATGTTGAGTACCCAGCTTGATAGGGTGGTGGGGGTGGTTAATATCTACCCTGCATAATTAAATTGTAAACTGCCCAGAGACTGTTTTAAGCACTGTGGAGTGTACTTTACTTTGATTTCTGATTCTGAAAAGCATACATATTTATAGTAACATTTGAAGAGAAGAGCTTCTGTTTGCAGCTATCTTAAGCAAGTGTAAGAAGAACAGTCAAGTGGAATGGTTTTCAACAAATTACGAAACATAGCTCCTTTTTAAAAAAATCATTTTACTTACACACACACACACACACTGCAACATATAAATTAATTCAGTGGAAAAAAATATTTTCTTTCCCAGCACAGAGCCTCAGCTCTCTTTTCAACAGGCTGCATGAATCACCTACTCAGCCTCAATACTTACAGTCCATCCCCAGTGGATGAAACTCAGCTGGTTGTCCAGTTCACATGTGTAGATGATGAATATGACAATACAGTAAACCAACATGCAGACAGCCAGAGAGGTGTAGCCAAACGTAACTGAGGCTCCATAGCAGATTAGGATGATGATACATGCGACCTGGGAGGGGATAAAATAACATACAAACAGGTTCCATAAAGATAATTAAACTGAGTTTTAGTACACAATCCTCAATAATAATGATGACCAGGACGATGACTCTAAGAAAAAATTCCTAGTTTTAGAAACTAGTGCTGTCAGAAGATACAAGGTTAAAATAGCACTAGAGAAAGAATATATAAATCAGTAGCAAGGTAAATCCATAAATGAGGGGGTTTTGCCAAGACATCTTCATTGATCATTTGCATCAGCCTTAGACCTTACAGAAAGGCAAATGAACAGAGCAGTGGAAGATGATCTTCAGAGTATGGTCAGGAAGTACTTCTCTGCACAGAAAGAGTACCGATAACCTTACCGTATATGGTGAAGGCAAACCTTTAAACAACCAAACTTCTAAGAAGATTTTAAAGCCCATTCCATGACTTTGAATCAAGCTCACAAATACACCAGGAATAATTTTAACACATCTGGCACCCTACTAATATCTGGGCAGCCACATTCTGCTAGGGTTTGAATTTCAAAACTGTTTTCAAAGCCAGCCCCACATAATGGGCATTACAGTAATGCAGTCTAGAATATCATAATCATCATTTTAGAAATGCAGAGCTGGACAGGACCCTACGGATCATTGAGTCCAGTCCCTGTCAAGGAAGTGCAGTGGGGAATCGAACCCTCAACCCGCTTATGCACACATAACCAAGAATAGACATGGTGGTGCTGGCCAGAACAGTCCTAGCTACCTGCATTTCTACAGACAGTATTGCACCCAGGAAAAAAAACCCAGGCAGTGAGGATGGTTCTTCAAGGAAGAGACGGCCTGGTTCTCAAACTTTCTTCTTGGTTAGATGGTTTCCTCAACCTACAGGCCCTCCACCCTAAATAGACTTTTGGCTCCCCTCTCGACTCATTGCCAAACCCTTGTTCAAGACTTCCATAGCTTCCTGTGGATTTTCAGATGGAGAGGGCAGAAGTAGATTCGAGATGCTATCTTCACAGGGAAGGAATTCCAGCCCTACGTTTCAAAGAACTTCTCACAGTGGCTTCATGTAGATGCGAACCTGGGGACAAAGCCTACAGGCATCCTTAGGCTAGGGCTAGGGCACTCTTGGTCTGCCATATATTCCCCAGTTCCCATTTGATTAGCCAGTCTGGTCCATGGTGAGGTATGAACAGATCAGGATTTCACCAAAAGCTGGAGGTTTATAAGCCAATGGTCATGAGGCGAGCGGGCAGGGGATGGGGAAGGCCTCCAGCCTAGTCTTCTGAGATCTACAATCTAAGGAGGACCAGAGTCGCCAAAGCACCATGCCTCCTAGGCCCAATCCAAACAGGTGACCGAGAAGGATACCATGGCAAAGAATAACGAAAGCAGCTGAGAGGTACAGGAGAACCAATAGGTTTGTGCTCTCAGTAATCCAGTCCACAGCGTAGGTCACCAACCAGGATGACCAAAACCATCCTCCACCTTGAAGCTAAGCTGAAAGACAGGTTGGAACGGATCCAAAACATCAGCATCTTCTAAAAACCACCTGGGAGTTGACACGACACACACACAAACGCACGAATGCACACCCTCTTTGGAACCTTGGTCAGAAAAAGTAGATTTCAGACTGAACAAGATTACCCCAGGCCATCAGAACTAAACATCTTTGTTCCTTTTTAAAGTCAGTGGTCTAATCACATCCTTCCTACACCTGAAGAGAGGGAACTATGGCCTCTCTCACAGGGAAGTCTTCAACACCTCCAAGACTAAGCTCTGCGGAATCATTGTGGCAAATGCTAATATCTGTGAGGTTACAATTATTTATGAGGCTTCACATTTCCAAGCAGCTTATCTACATCCTCAGTCTGCACAGTCTGAAAAGCATCCAAAACAAACAGGATCATTATGCCAGCCACGCCCATCTCTGATACAGTTAAAAACCGTGACTTCCAACTCAGTGAACACATCTGCAGCATTTTAGTCAATCTTAATAAAATCTGTTGCCCAACTATGTTGCCTCATCCAGTACACCACTAATCCAGTACAGTCCAGGATTGTGATATTGAAGCTGTTTTTTTGAAAACTGTTTCTGGTGGGCGCCTTATAGGCATGCATGCATTCTTAAAAAGAAAGTTGTCCGGTAATTCACTAGGATCTCCCACTCTTGAATTAGAACCAGGAAGCACCTCCTAGTGAGTAACTTGTTAGCTTATCTCTTAATCCTGACAGGCCAAAGGCACAGAGGATACAACAGAGGAAGTCACGATGCTCCGTGACAACTGTATGCTTCTATCTTTGCTAAGCATCCGGTTCATAAAGCCACCTTCTCAATCCACCACCCCCACGAAAAAAAGATGGTGTTTTCTCAGAGAGCTAAAGGCAGACTTTCAGAGTGTGGGTTATTCACAGATAACTTTTCTGTCCTCACCAAATTTCTCTCACACACACACATACACAACTCTGCTTTTCTCTCCATAAATGGATAAAAATAACCTCACCACTCAGTGGATTTGGAGCTATGCAACCAGCAAACCTCTCCAGTCTCCTCATGACAGTCCCTTCTCCACATGTAACTGCTGGAGTGGCACCACGACCCGTATGTACAATTCCTCAAATGATTTTTTTTTTTACTGTAATGCATGTTAAGATTTAAAGGGTGATTTGCCTGGAAAATTAACACAGAAGCCAATACGTAATGTGAAATACTTCAAGGTCGTGGTGGGGAACAGCTCCCGGCACCTCACTTCCCTGGCACTCTCAAATATGTTTTTTTAAAAAAAAAAATGTGTGAGGAATTTTGAAAAAAAAATGGCTCAGAATTCCTTTTGAGTTCTTTAAAGAGGATTTTTTGCTTATGTTTTGAGGGACTCCCAAAGCCTCCATCCCTACACATCCCAAAATAAATTTTAAAAGGTCTTCTGGTCATGGGACGTTTCAGTGAAGTGTACTTTTTTAGCTAAACCCTCCGCTACTTTTGTAGGAAGAATATTTTTGGATAGAGGTAGCAGGGTGCAGGGATTACTGGTTTAGAGATTGCCCACCCCTTCTCCAAGTGCTGTCTAGGAGCCTGTCCAGATAATATGTTGTCTTTAGTCCTTCTGGGATTGCTCTGGGTCCTTCTGGTCATTTTTGTTACGGGTTTGTGTATCTTTTTTTTCTACATGGGGGAATATTTGTTGTTGGTTGTGCTGGGATGTACTGGGTCGTCCTGGCACCACCGATCCAGGAACTGTTTCCTGATGTCTCTGTCCCAACGCTAACCACTCTTCCTTCCTGCCTACCTTCCCTGTCTTCACTCCGCTCATCTTCGCTATCCTCTTTCTCCTCTTCTTTTATCCAGCCATTATAGCAAATTCCAGCAGGACAAACTACATCTGGTAGTCCTTGACCAATTTTTAAAGAACTGGCACAAATGGTGTGGTATTTTCCAGTGTAGTCACATCATAAATCCTACTGTAGAGGAAGCCTGGATCAGCCATCTAATGTTCCAAAATTCCATTTACAATCAGAGCTTCTAGACAAAATTAAACATCGAGGCCATGCCAACATATGTTGTCAACTGAGAAAGAGCTGCAAATGTCAGGCCCTATTCATGTCCTAAGTGCTAAACAGCAGACCAAGTTATTTTGGCACATCAGTCAGAAAATCCCAAAGCCCTTTTCCTCATCTGTGCAAATAAAAAATGCAGTAATGCTAAATTAAATAACTAATAATGTACTGCCTTTAAAAACAAACAGACCAATATCTCTAATCTGCTGCCTGAAGCAGCTGCCTCACTTTATTTCATGGTTGGACTGATCATGAAAAGCATGTTTTAAACTATCTTTAGGTTTGAAAAGAGAAGGATGAGAAGGGATATACCTTAGCTATCTATGTGAATGGCTGTTACATGAAAAACAGAGCATGCTTGTTTTTTGCAGCTTCAGAGCATTGTCCCCAAAGCAACGGACATAAATGGCAACAAGCATTTTTTTTTATTGAACATTAAGAACCTTCCCAACATTAAGAGCTGTTCAACAATGGAATCGGGTACTTCAGATGGTTTTGAGGTCTCCTTCATTGAAGGATTTTAAACAAAGCCTGGATGACCATCTGTCATGGGATGCTTTTGCTGTAGATTTCCTGCTACTTCAGGGAATTGGACTTGATGGTGCTTAGGATCCCTTTCTAGCTCTGCAGTTCTAAGATTATTGTGAAGATGCAGAAATAACAGTCTTATGACACCTTAAAGTCTAACAAGTTTTACTCAGCACATTACTTTGTGGCTTGTACCCCATTTCTTCAGATAAGCAAAAAAAGTGCATTTGAAAAAGTGGGCTACATAGTTCAGAAAAGCTTATGCCAAACAAAACTTGTCAGTCCTTAAGAGGCCACAAGACTATTGCTTTTATGTTTTCAAGCGGCAATCTCAGAATTGGCCAATATAAGAGAGAATGAGGGAGAATTTCCCTGTAGTTGTCTATTGTGTTGGTCCAAGGACACCAGCACCTGAGTTACCCAAGTGTGAAGGAGATCAGGAGGCTAGTGTACCGTCCTCAACGTCAAGCGCACCCAAAGAGGAAAAAATTGTTGATCAGGAGGGGATAGAGTGTATGCCTAAATTGATAACAGAGGAGAAAAAGAACATAGAGATCTATCTGGTAGAAGAGAGGAAAGGAAAGAAAGGGGAGGCGTTAAGATTTTCAACCCTGAGTTACCCAAGTGTGAAGGAGATCAGGAGGCTAGTGTACCGTCCTCAACGTCAAGCGCACCCAAAGAGGAAAAAATTGTTGATCAGGAGGGGATAGAGTGTATGCCTAAATTGATAACAGAGGAGAAAAAGAACATAGAGATCTATCTGGTAGAAGAGAGGAAAGGAAAGAAAGGGGAGGCGTTAAGATTGTCAACATGAGAGGAGGATATAAAAGAGGAAGAAGAAAGGGGTTTTGGAACCATATTGAGGAGAGAAGAAAGAGAGGAAAGAGAACCAGTAAAAATTAGATCAAGGGGAACTAAAGTATAAGTGAGTACGGGATTT